TTTTTTTTTTTTTTTTTTTTTAAAGGTTGAAACTCACGACAAAACCATAGTGCTTCAGGATATCCATTTTGCACATGGGGCATGTTCGATGGTCTAGCAGCCACGGGTCAATGCACGACTTGTGGAACTCGTGCCTGGAAGCAAAACAGATACATAACGTATGAGTGCGTTGCCAAGGGGCAGCGATGGCACGAGTAGTACGTCCACCAGTAGGCTCGGCAGTCTGCTCGTCAGTCTGCTCGGCAGCCTTTAACCCACCTGCAGGGCAGCGCTCTGACGACGTCCGCCACGCGATAACGCTCGATGCAGATGGCACAGCAGTCGCCGTCCCCCACCAGCTCCTGAGGATCCACCAAAACAAACCGCGTAAAGGTCAGCCCAGGGCGTTCGTCGAACCGCGCGCGCGCGCGCGCCGCGTTAAGCTATCCGGCCGTTTATGAACCGGGTCGGGTTTTGGACAAGGCCTTGCGGCAGTCTGGCCGTGCCGTGGCCATGGAGTGGCCATATAGCCCCGGCGGGAGCGCGCGAGGTAGCAACTATAGCCTGCCTAGGCTTAGCCTAGGCGAGCGGATCGGGCGCCGGTGAGACAAAACCGCTACGCCCCCCACTATGGACTTCAGTGCGAATATATTCAAATATATGTCAGCGTTATGGATGTGGTAGAGGATAAGAAAGAGACAATGTAAACCGAAAATGAAAAACAAAAAAAGAAAATCTGGGAAAACGAACGGAGCCGGAACGCGTCTGCGCATTGCAATGCGGCGCGACCATGCGGCGGGTGCGCGTTAACTCGATTTGGAACTGTCTGCATGCGCGGCGCTGCGTTACCCTCTCGTACAGTGGCGATGGACCCGCCGGGACATTGCTTTAGGTGCGTGAAGTCGACGCCGGCGACCGACTCTCTTGCACTCGCGTCAGGTGGCGCGTGTGTCACGACTACCGTACAAGATTGTTTTGCTCACCGGATCGTCAATTTTCAGTCTTCTAGTCGGGATTTTTGACAGCGCTCGTTTGGCCGCGGAACACAGCCTTCTCTGTAAAAAGTAAAAACAAAAAGGATGTTTTGAAAATGGCTTGGTTAGCGCGTGGACCTCGCCACGTCATGTCGTTCGCGCCGCCAAACACGATCCCAGATGTTTTTCAATGTCAATCAAAGTTCAACAAGTTTGTCAAAACAAAAATTACGAATCCAGTCTACTAACCGACAGGCGGTCCTTGGCATGGATGTACCGGAACCGCTGCACGTAGTAGAAGACTAGCCAGGCCAGGGAGATGATCATGAGCACGATGAAGGACACTGACACGAACAGCACAGAGGTCCTGCAAAAGAAGGGCAGAAAGTTGTACTTTGGCATGGACCAGCATGAACACGTAAACAGATGTTTCTACCCCCTCCTCCTCTACCCACGCACAAACACACCCGCAGCTCAATGATACCGGCATTAAACTGAGACCCAGAGGCCTTTGTTCCATTCGAAGCAAAACAATCATGCAGGCATGTGAGCTCCGCTAGTGGGTAGGTAGGTGGCCTCACTGGCCGGACTTTACTGCTTATTATTGATATTATCTTGTTGGTATCGAGTTTGAGGCGGCGCTCGAGTAGCCCAGCGCGGCGGTAGCCCTGGGCGCAGGGTGGCGCGAAGTGGCACTCAGCCAGCCCGGCGGTAGCCAGTTCGGCGAGCTGCTAGGGAACGTGTTTGCTCTTGAAGAGGGGTGGTTTTGGCTCCGTGGTCCCGGCCCAGCCCGGCCCGGGTGGACTTGGCGGGGTCAGGGTGTCACCCAACGTGTCACCGCGTTCAGGCGCGCTGCCAGCAGAGCCAGGCGGAGCCCAGCCCCGCGGGGCGGTGACGGAGGGGACCGCGGTGGGGACGCTCGTCGCGTGTGGCAGAAATAGCGGCAGGAGGGGCCATGCATGCCAGGCCACGGCCCGTGGGGCAGCACAACACACAACAAATACACCGCCGGCCAGGAGCAGAGTGGAGGTGAGACCGCAGCAGGACACCCCTCTCGCACTCCCACGCTTACCGCTCATCGAGGGCAGCGAGTCGTCCTCCCTCGCACAACATACTAACAATGGTGGCTGCTCTCCTTTGCTGACGGTCTCGGGGCTCTGCGACGAGGGGGCGCCGAGGACCTGGCTGAGGGCGTGCCCGAGGGTAGCCATGGCACCGGAGGCGTCCGGATGGTGCCGTCGGAGGACGCCGTCGGAGGACGCCGTCGGAGGACGAGCGACCACGCGTGCGGTGCAGCACTGAGTGTACTGAGGGCTTCCCGCAACGCGCCCGGCCTTCCGCGCCGCCCGGCCCGACCGCGACGCACCGCACCTCGACCAGCCTGCCCGCCCCGCCCC